AAATTAGTCTTTCTGGATCTTTAACAAAAACACATACAGGTCAATGTATACAGCAATTAGCTATAAGTGAAATATACATTTATTAAATTAAACGTTGATTGGGTCACATGGCATGCAGAAGATTCTTCCCCATTAATCAACTCTTCTGCATCACGACTTTAACCATCGGGGTTTTGGTATATCTCAGGGTCGGCATAAGAGATTATATGGGAATTTGGGGAGTCTGAGGAAAGTCGGAAATGACACACAAAGGCCTGCAGACGACACACAAAAAAGTTTAGTGACTCCTAAATGCATAAAATATACAGTATGCACAGTGCTGGTTTGGAGGGCGCCAAGTGTGTTTACGGCAGCCGCTCACACGATAGCTCAGAGTGATAGCTCACAGTGATATTTCTATCTCGCGTCTTTTTGTGCCGTTTTAGTGCGCTAAACTGTACTGAAATCTGAAGCAATTGCTTTGATTGCCAAGGGAGACCAAAAAAATGTACGCAGTTTTTCCAGATCACAAGAGGTCTGCACCCCTAACCCCCACAATGTGGAAGGGTGGACTGTAGTTAAGGGGTTACTGGGATTAAGGGGTTACTCAAGCGAGTTATTTAAAATTACTCTGCATTTTGCTGTCTTGTTGAGGTTTGTACAGGTATTCTTCGCTATTACAATATCTGTTATAATGAATTAGCTATCTGAATGTGAAAAAAAACGCTATAAGGAATTTGTGTCTGAAAACATCTGAAGAAAACCATACTTTTCAGTAGACTTTGCGGAGTGTTATTATCTTTAAGTGTGTTATTTCATTCTTCGTTTGCATTGTTGTGTTTGTTGGAGGGTAGATCAAATACTGTATCTGATACTTACAGCATACTTGCATACTGTACATAAACATACCCACAAATGAGTTCATTAAGAGTTGAATTATGTCATAGTTGATTTTAAAAATCCTATATATAGTTCAGAAATCCTTGGTAGATTGTTATATATGTGTTTTAGTGATATTTTGGAAAATTGCCATATGCCAGTATTGCATTATTTGCATATTTGCATTGTTAATCTCGTTTTAAAGAAAAAAAAAACCCTTTTCAGCACCTTACTGTAAACAGATTATATTCTGATAAAGAGCTATGACTGAATTTGCCTGCTTAAGTAGCCAGCTATCTACTGGAATAAAGCAGGTTAAATACACTGGTCAAGGCTATCACAAGGCCCAGCAATCGGCAGGGGGAGAGCCTTGATTCTTAACCTCCTTGGTGCAGGCTCTTCATAAGCTGGCTATATGTACACTGAAACAGGTTTGTTGCCAGCATTTTCCACCCAGTACGTTTTAAAGGCTATAAAAGTGATAAACAAAAAGCATATAATAAATAAAATCTGCTTGTGTTGTCGAAACTTCGAGGTAACAGTGACAGACAAGAGCTGCCTGCAGATTGTATGTGTGCTGTTTGCTCTGTGTTGCTGGAGCATGTAGGATTGTGGGGAAAGTCTTTACACAGATGGGAAGGGAATCATTCATAAAGGTAACTGCATGCTTATGCACAGAAGTACAGACATTTGCCCAACTGGTTTCATTTATTCTGTAAATTAAATGTATCTGTTTCATAGCTGCCCGTGCTACAAAACGATCGCATAGCATAAAATTAGCATGAAATTGTAGTGTTAGGGTAGTCATCCAGCATAAGGATATCGGGTGTGCAAATAATTACTATAAATGTTTGCATTCAAATCTCTATAAGCCAGATTTTGTCATTGGGGGAAAATGGGGAATGAGGCATATTTTTTGCTAATAGAATATGCTCCGTGGCTCACTGGTGAGATGCTCTTCCTGACAGTCAGACTGCTGTATCGACTAGCATTGTGTCACCCAAAGGCTCTGTGGTTCTGTGGGCAACGTTCATTTGTAGGGTGTTCACTGTACTGTGTAGTGTAATGTGTGGGAGTATTCACTGTGGGCTATCCATTCATCAGTCTTTCAAGTGCTTATGCCAGTTAGGGTCATGGGGGTTGGGGGGGGGGGGGCTGATGCAATCCCAGCCAGCATAGGGCACAAGGCTGCGTATACCATGGGTGGGATGCCAGTGCACAGTGTTCTCCATAGCAACCTGGTCCTTGGGGACCCCCAGACAGTCCACGTTTTTGCTCCCTCCTAGCTCTCTGCCAGACAGTCCACATTTTTGCTCCCTCCTAGCTCTCTGCCAGACAGCTGGGAAGGAGCAAAAATGTGGTCTGTCTGGGGGTCCCTGAGGACCGGGTTGGGAAACACTGATTTAGATCTAAAGGTCTATCAGTTCAGTACCCACAACGCTATCTATTCTGTGTGTTTTCAAGTTGCACTGTGGCTCAGTGGGTAGCCCTGTTGTCTTACATATCAAGGATTGGTGAATCCTGACTCTGTGTGTGTGTGTGTGTGTTTGCATGCTTTCCCTTGTTATTTGTGGGTTTCCATTTGCAATCTAAAGATGCGATGTTAAGTGAATGGTTTTCAGTAAGTTCCCCATAGAGAATTATGGTGTGGACCCTGCTATTGATGTCAGTGACTGTCTGGGTGTAGTAGAGAAGACAGCTTTTGACTTTTTGGGGAACATAGTTTTTACTGTGATGGGTTTCCAGCTGAGCAATAGCAGTGATTTTGGAAGGTATGATAAAAGATTTTGACTGCGGGGAGTCTGATGTTCATTCTGTAGAGCAGCGAGGACCCTTCAGCACTGTGATCATTCCTGGGCTTGTGGCTGCTTACCATGATTTACCAGGGCGTAAGGCTTCGCCCCTCCATCTCATCATGCCAGGGTGTGGCCTTGGAACTTACACGGGTCATGCCAGGCATTAAAGTAAAGCCTCTGACCAGTTTTTCTGGCTTGACATCTGGCCATCTAAGAAAAAAATAAAATGGCATACCAGTACGTTTTTATGGTTTCGTGGTTAAAATCATGAATGTGATCAGAAGCACGGTGGTTCACTATGTTGATACTTAAGGAGTGTCTCAGAGGTGCTGCCGGTGTTCGGATTGTAGGAGTCCATTTCTACCAGGAACCCTGTGTTCTCTGTCAGGTGACTCTGATAGGAGCCAGACCCCCCCCCAATTAACTAATGTGACACATTGAATTGTACCGGGTGTCACACTCTCACGCAAACAACGACACATTTCCTAAATATTTTTCCCCGTTTGTTTATATGATGGATGCTCTTTGTTTGTGACTAGCAGTGAGTAGTGTAATGTGTCATTTTTGCAGATGTTACTGAAATATTTATTCAGGATTCGACAATTGAGGGATGGGGGGGGGGGGGGCTGATAAATCACTGCGATCTGAGCTTGTCCTAGCCGTACCAACATGCTGCCGCTGTTGGGTTATTGCACTGGCGGTTTGCATCAGCTTGAGTCAGCAGGCAGGCCTGTTTGTTTGGGTCAGCCTTGCTAACCAGTAGCCATCTCTCTTTACGACATCTCGACACTCCTGTCCGTTTATTTTTGGAAATACCCCATGGGCTTTTTTTTTTTATCAAGTTTGATTGTGCGTTTCTGTTGTTTTTTTTTTTTGGTCCTTTTTTTGTCAAACGTTTTGAACAGAAAGAATAATAGTTAATTCTACTGAGCTGAGGGCACTGTCAAAGTTATAGATTTTCTCTTTTAAAAATTACCCTCTTTGGTTGTTCCCAACAAAGTTGCAGACGTTTGTCTGTTATCGCTCAGAGAGAGGAATAAATCATAACAGCTCGTGTAATGTAGAGGTAATCAGTGTTCTCGCGTATGGCTGAGCTGTCATCCGTCTTTTCCCTGTATTACCAGAGGCAAAATGTTTTTTTTTAAGAAGAAAAATAATTAACATTTTGATGCAATGGACTTTCTTGAAACCAAAAAGAGTCATCCTTTATAAACCTTACCTTTTCTTCACCTTTTCCTGTGAGTTCTGTCTGTCTTGTGGTTCTTCTCCTCTCTCAGAATCTTAACCTTATCATCCGTTGTCCTTGTCAATCACATCGGGGTCGACGTGAACCAAAAAGCCTTCAGGAACCTCTTTAGTGGCGTTAAAGTATGACCCAAATAAGGCACTTGTCCATTTGTGAAAAAATTCTGGTTTGTATATTAACTAACTGATGAGTTTTCACAGCTGGTACCCAGAATACCCTAGTTAAGCAACTGACTTCACCCTGATTTATTCTTTGTAACCAAGACCAGACACATCCACCCATAATCCAGCTGCTTACCCAGTCCATGGTCATGGAGAGACTAGAGTCTATCCCAGTAAGCTCTGGGCACAAGGCAGGGGGACATCCTGGATGGGACTCCAGTGGATCACATGGAAGAACTGAAACAACTGTAGATTAATGTCCTTTATAACCAGATATGTGGATTTCATACGTCTCTGGGATGTCACAGCAAATTAAGCTCGTTCTGAGGCACTTAACCTTCCTGCCATTCAGTCATTCTTGTCTTCTGAGATGCATGACATGTAGATTTCAGTTGCTCGGCTGTTGGCTTGTCACTCACTAAAAGACCCACTTCCCGGCAGCCCCTGAGTGAGACATTATTTATGTGATGGATTATATATATTTGCACAGCATGAGACTTGATGCTGACCTTTCAAACACCCATGCAGTTTAACCCCCTGCCCACCCCCACTCCTGGCCATCCCCCCCACCCATAATACTGACTGCCATTTAAAAACTGTGGTTATAGTATCCACAACCGGCCTGTGCTCTCTTCCTGCCAGCTGGCCATTTTTAAACACAAGCTGGTGTTACAGTACATAATCGAGGGGAAAAATACAGTGCTGGACCCTTTTTTTTCTGGCAGAGTGCACTAAGATATCTCCAGCTATTCTTCTGTATGGTTTCCAGAACCTTCACCTCGCAGCCGTTCCCAGCCACCTCGTCTACGGTCACTGGCACTGTGACATTGCAGTTTAGTCTTTATTCCATGGGGTTTGCTCCCATCTCACCATCGTGATGTCGGAGAGAGTGATCAGCCCCCCCCCGGCCGCTGGCCCACAGAGTATGAGACACGCGCAGTTTTACTTGCAAGGGTGCACACCGCAGTGTAGCTACAAGGGTGTGGCACCACGAGAGGGTTTATTTATACTTTAAGGTGATCAGGTTACATTGTGGGTGTGAACAACATTTCGAGTGGGATAGAATGGGATGTGGAAGTGGGAGTGGAAATAGGAACAACAGAACGTACAGCAGAGGTGGGCTCGTCTGCTGCACGTGATAGAAAATTACTGTTAAGCATTTACACAGTTGCTACATGGAACAAGTTATACATTCATAAGAATACACATGAGTGAGAATATATACACAATCTCAACCCAACAGTGAAAACGTCACAAACTCCCCTGCAGAGCTTCTGGATGGAGTGGGGCAGCATGTCGGCCGACACTGGTGGTGCCACTGTGCAGTGGGATGCTCTTTAAGGGGCGGAGTTCTGCCTCGGGACAGCAAACTGCAGACAGCGGACATCTCACCTTCGGCCAGGATGCACTCTTTTACCCAGATAGGGGCCGGCACTCTGCCAGCTCTCTCCCGGCTTCTCTCACTGACATCCAGCTGACCTGGTTCCTGAACAAAAAACAAAATGGGGTCATGGCCCCACTGAGAAAGGTTTACTAAGTAAAAATTGGTAAAACTCAAAGACACAAAAAGCTCGAAAAGGTCTCTCTCAATGCAGTTGACCCCATAAAAATCCCAACAAGAGTCTTTGCGTATTCTGAGCCAGTTGGATTGCTGGGGCCAGTAACCAATTGGAAGTCCCAGTGATGGGGCAGATCCAGCTCTGTGCTGTGACCGTGGCGCACAACCCTTTCCTCAGCTAAATATGAAGTATGGAGTGTGCCACCGTCCTCCACTCTAGAAAGACTGTCACTCAAAAAACCCATCAATGCGTGACAGGAGCCACAAGCCCCTGTGCAGGAGACCCGCACGTGGACCTCGGGGGCACAAAACAGATCGAGCTGCTGTAATGGAGCCGTCAGTGCAGCAACCACTCCTCGCCACCCTCGACTGGAAGAGGGGACTGACACTTAGCGGGTGCTCTTCTGGCTCCCAGGGTTGTGGGTTCGATTCCGGCCCTGAGCCCTGATTGTACCTGTTCTTTGAGTGTTTGTGTGCATTTCCCTTGGGAGGTCTGGGATTTCCTCCCACAAAATTGGCCTTAATGTGTGGTCTGTCATTGACTGGCAACCCATCCAGGGTGTCTCCTGTCAGTGCTTCCTGGAAGAGGTTCCAGGCTCATTGCTACATTGTTCTGGATAAGGGGTGAAGATGATGGATGGATAAAGGAGACAGGGGTACAAAGGTAGGTTTTAATAGAACCTTAGGTTTGTCAGGTATGGCTGGAGTAAGATAACAGACACGTCGTGGAAATGCTCTGTAGAGCTGATGGCGAACAAGAATAGTGCTTCAAAAAAACGAAGTGGCAAAGCAACCGTGCTTCATTCCTGCTTAATGCAGGTAATGGACATTGCGAGTTTGCTCAAGCTGGTTTTCTGAGCTACAGACACTGCTGTTGCCTCGCTGCTCACCGCTCCTCTCTGAAGCCTCTTGTGATTTTCCACCGAACACAAAAACAGTGGGAGGATTTGTTCAGGAATGCATTTAAATTCTGCGTATGGCTGCAAGTGAAAGGGGGAAAAAAAACAACCTTTTTGTTGACGTGTCGACACCTGACCTCAGCTTCCACTGAAGAGACAGGAGAAAAGCGTGCTTTGTTTTTTGATTTAAAAGGAACATCTTGTTACCTAAATGTCAAGGCTTACTGGTTTTATTCAATCCAGCAGATTAATGTACTGGCTTTAATATTTCTGTGTTTGAATGCTTGGCTCCAGATTGAAGTCGTTAGCTTTTCAGGTTCCCACCTGTTATCTGCATAGGCAATTAAATATTAATTAGCTAATTATCTCTGGGTTCTTCCCATCCAGAGTGCATGCGGCATTATTCATTTAGCGATCCATGTTGGCAATAGCCAGCCGTGTCGCCTGTCTGGCTCATGTGACAGCAGCACGCATGACTGAGAAGGTTTTTCCAGTGAATCGTCACACTGCGGAAAATTGAACATCCATCTATTCGTCCTTCATAATCGCTTATCCAGTGCCAGGTCGTGGGGCCCTCAGCCCGTCCCAGGAAGCACAGTGCGTGAAGAGCAGTCTGAAGAAATATATAGTTGTTTGATTTATTGTATTTTGCTCCATTTTACCAGGGAGATTTTTTTGTGTAAAGACGTACATTTCAACTCTATACTCTCACAGCCTGACCCATTCATGCGCACACACACACACATGCATACACACACATACGCACACACACGCATGCATACACACACATACGCACACACACACACATGCATACACACACATACGCACATACACACACACACGTATGCATACACACACATGCGCACACATGCATGCATACACACACATACACACACACATGCATGCATACACACACATACACACACATACGCACTCACACGCACACATACACACACACATGCATGCATACACACACATAAGCGCACATACACACGCCCACACACTCCTCCTCATTCACCCACGGATGCCCGGCTTGCGCTGGCTAGCCAGGCATAGCTTAGTGCTTTTCATCTGCCTCACTCCTCTCAGAGCTACTGGGCGTTTTTAAATGTACCCCTCAGTGGTAGCAGTGGTGTGAGCTCAAACCAGCGTGGAACCAGTGACACCCCCCAGCGAGTTAAAAACCAGGGCCCCCCCCCCCCCCCCAAATGTTTATCAGACTGGATGGGGACCTGCGAGGGACTCGGTGACTTGCACACGTCACGGACTCACCGGCAGGTGGGTTTCTGGAACCCGGGCCGAAAGCGACTCAGGCAGGCCAGCAGCCAGCAGCTTCGGTTGGCCCACGCACTGCAAAGCTGGCAGATCCTCCCTGCTTCAGAGCACATGTGGATATCGGGGCAGACTGCTGGCTAAAGAAATTATCTGGAGAAACGCAGGCCATTCTCATTGGGGGCGGGGGACTGGCCCACATTCTGCAGACATTTACGATAGGAGGGAAATGCCAAACGACGGTTTACGTGTTTACAAAACCACTCCGATGCAAACGTGGAAGGTGACGGGGTGGAGGGAGGACGCTGGCGGTTCCTTCTCTTTAAAAGCAGCTAAAATTATAATAAAAAGGAACAAAAACATGATGCCGATAAAGTTATTTAAGCGGTAATTATGTTGCTGTCAAGATCTGTCTTTGTAAAACAGCAAGGACCCCTGATGGGGTTGATCTGTAACCTTCGTGCATCGATTTCTCATGCCTGATCAAGATGAAAGAGGCTCATTGGCTCTCCAACCAGCAGAATATCCAACAGCCATTTTGAAGACTCCTGGTGCTGCGCTTCTGACATGCTAGCTTCTCATCGTTCTTTTCTAATCGGTAACGTTTCCTATACTGTCCAATCAGATTCCTCCCCCGTTGACGTCCGAGGTGTTGCCTCCGCAAGTCCTGCGTTTGTGTGGTTCAGTGGGCATGCGGGGCGCGGCACGGCATGTGACACTGGTGCAGGGCCAGCTGGATTTTAGTAATTAGGTTACCTGTAGGTACAGTTGCCAGTGACCAGTTGCTGGGGCCAGTCACCATCCATGATGTCAGTGATAGTTTTTTTAATGTCATCTCTCATTTATTGAGCAGCATTGCAAGTGTGTTTGTGTGGGGCACGCCCTGCTTTGTCGCCACTGTGATGTCACGCATGTATGCATCCTGAAAATGCAAACTTCCGGGATCAGTGACCCATTCTGTGTTACTTCAGATTTTTAGCATCAGTTTTGATGGCTTTCGGTCTGTCAGTGAGGCTGTATCTGTTGTGAGACTAGATATTATTTTCGTAAGAAGTCTTATGATGACGTCTTTCATAAGAAGTCATCCTGTACTGAGTGGCCACTTTATTAGGTACACTTCTCAGTTACTAATCCCCTGTTGCCTACAGACCAGCCTGCATTTGTTGATATGTGGATTCAACAAAACACTAGAAACTTCTCTTATGGAGTTTGGTCCATGGCTTTAACAAGTCGGGCCATTCTCCTCCAACCTCTCTCATTAACAAGGTGCTTTTGCCCTCAGAACTGCTGCTGACTGGGTTTTTCTTTGTTTATCGCACCATTCTCTGTAAACTGTAGACACTGCGGTGTGTGTAAATCCCAGGAGGATGCCTGTTTCTGTGATTCTGGAACCACCACGTCTGGCACCAACAATCACACCCCTTTCAGAATCACTTAGATCAGACATCTTAGCCAAATAGTAACTGAACCTCCTGACCCTGTCTGCTTGCTGTATGTATTCAGTTGCAGACACATGATTTGCTTGTTTGGAGGAGCAGGCTGTGTGCGTTAATGAGCAGGTGTACCTAAGTTCCCTCTGAGAGTATGTCTGCTGTTTTCTTGGTATACGATTAAAAAATAAATTGCAGCCCAGGCAGACAGGAAACATATTTTTAAAAATCATCTATATTAAAAATTCATTGTAAAACATGATTTCAACAATAAAACAGGATGGTAAACAGCAGAATAAAATTTTCCAGATGCTCATTAGTACCTGGTCCATTTTAATCAAGCGAGATTTTAGTCATAATGATCCAACAATCATCTGTCCTGTTTCCAAAACAGCCTGTAGACAGAGTCACTGTCCCAAGAGGGAACAGGTAAAGCGGGGAACCCTCAGGATTGGTCAGCACCAAGAGGCGCTCCTCAAGCTATTTATAGTCGCTGGTTCACCTGCACTTTGAGCAGCGAGATGAGACAGTAGCTCCGGAACGAACCCACGCAAACATACGGAGAAGGAGCAGCCTCTCCCCCAAGGATCTGCGGCCTCAGGTCTATGATCCGAATCCACAGCCCCGAAGATCTCAAGTTTAAAACAGTGCTAATAAATAGCAAACTTATGGCAAGAGGAGAAAATTGCATCAGTGTGATTTTTATTACATCCCACAAGGCAGGATTCAGTGCTTGTCTCCCGAAGCTCTTGGTCCTAACAAACAGGTCTGCTTGAAAATGGGCGTGTGTTCCCATGCCGCACGAGAAATGTGATGTATACATGAGAGTAGGCATGTCTACACTATGTTTATAGTATTGTTGCCAGCATAATCTGGTTGCTTGACCTCTTTAAACTGGAATACAGACATATATTCCAAAAACCCAGAAAGAACCGGAGGTTTTCTTGCAATGGCCTGGAAGAGAGGTTTGGGGGTTAGCGTCTGTTATTTGTTAAGGGGGTGGGGGGGTGCAGGACGGCAGGGGTCAAACAAAAGCCGCTTTGTTATACCAATATTATAAAATGCACAAAGCCCACTGGATCTGCACGGGTGATCCTGTTTAAAACTGGGCAGTCTAATCAGGGTCAGCTGGGACTCATTACCTGAGACACCCATAGGGACAAGGCTGCTGATCAATTGCCATGGCAACAAGAGAGATCGTCCGAATCTGGCTGTGTTCCACCGCGTTGCCTCCCGCTAGCTGTCGACAGTGCAATTTGCATATGTCACGTCTGGACCGCGCATGCCCGTCACGAGGGCGACCTGCCTCTGAGCGCAGTGCATCGGCGAGTTTGGCGAAGCTTGACGAGGAAAGCAGCGCTGCGTCTGTGCCCCGTCTCATTATGATCATTGTAATTCCATGTTTTGGTCTTCCCCTGGTACTGGCGGGTGTTATATCCGTGGCACTGAGGCAACTGACTTGGTATCTCAGGCCGTTTGTTTGTCCCCTCATTATGAGGAGCACAAACACTAACTGACTGCAGTGACGTTGTCCTCCTTACTGTGTCTTTTTTTTTGTTTGGGCTGTTTGAATTAGGTGCCCTTCCATTCGGCTCCCTTCCACGAGCGCTGCGCCAGAGACGTGCCCATTCGCAAATGGCACGCCGATCCCACTAGAAGCCTGCAGCCAGCGCTCTTTTCTGTAATTGGCGTGGAGTCAATGCCAGGATCGATATGGGGGCCGGCCAACCGTCAGCTGTTGATAATCACGATCTTAACCTTCAGCAACCCACTCCCTCCTCCTGCCGACCTTCTCTCCTTTAGGCTAGAGGCCTTTCCCATCATCCATTGGGAGTGGGGGGCTTAAGGCACCATGTATACGCCCTTACTCCCTCACAGAGTAGACAGGAGGATAAAAGAAACATTGTAGAGAAGTCGTTAAATATCCCCACGGGCCTGAGTGGTTGGAACATGGATGGATGGATGGACTTGAAATATGGGAGTCTGTAATATACCAATCGGTGTCGTCTCATTTTGTTGTTCTGGGGCTAGTTCTCATGGGAAACTTGATAGCCTAGAGGTAAGGTTGGAGCATTTTAACCTTTAGGTTGCTGGTTTAAGACCCAGGTTGACTTTGGCCTGTTAAGAAAGCATATTATTGTAAGTTTAAAGGCCGGTCTAGCAGGAAAGAGATGTAACGTTCACACATGATGTATGATTTCAGGCGCCGGTTTTTAATTATGTTGGTGGTGGAGCTAAAAGCTGGTCATCTGGAGCAGCTGTTTCCCAGTTTCGCTGAGCCTGGCGAGTAGGATAATCCATCACCTGCGAGGCTTGTAGCCAGACTTACGCGAGGTCTGTCTCTTCACCTAGAGAACTTCCCTGAATCACAGAGAAGGCTTTTCGCTCACAACTGCCCCAAAGTCACAGTTTCTTTTCACGTTCATGAGAGTGCGTGCACACACAGACACACACACACACACACAGACACACAGACACAGAGGGCACATCAGCACACAGACTTTAAGAGGCAAACCAGAGTTTATTGAGTCCATTAACCTTAATCTCTCAGCCCATTCTCTCCCAGTAACAGGCCTCTTTGAGTGCCCCTTTTACTGTCACTGCTTGAAGCTATTCTTCCAGTGAGATCCTTGCAAGAAAAGCCTACTAGGGTCCTTATTTTGCCCTCGCTCTTCTTAATGAGATTCATCTGCCTGGCTCGAGGCCCCAGGGCCAGCCGGAGCTGACCCGCCTACATTCGTCGCTCCTATTTTTCCAGCTCCTGCTTCTCGCCCTGGAAGTGCCTTGGCATTTTTCCTGGCCGTAAAGGGAGAGTGTATCTGGTGGGAGGGTGGGGGCAGCCTATAGGGGCAGCCCTCCCCCAATGCCCCCGATGCCCCCGATGCCCCCACCTTCATTGTTGCCATGTACTGGCTGTCTGGGGGCGATCAGCTGACTTTTATTTTTTTTGAAAAAGCGACAATGGCGAAAAGGCTCTGGCGAGTGTGAAATAATTTCTCCATTTGGCTGCTTTGAAAAAAAATATTTTTTTTAAAGGAGTAGTTTAGGCTCAAACATGAAAAGGGATTGATAAAGACATGCAACAGAAGGGTCAAAAATTCATCTCTTCGGCTCAGCCAGGAGGATTAAAAATAATTCACAAGACAACTGGCACAAATCCTTCCTCAGCGTGTAGTCCTGTAGTTATACAGGCAGATTTATATATAATTATTCGTATTTCCACTTGAAATTCAGTCGTCGTAAATCAGCAGCATTAGTCACGTCTGCCTGCTGTGAACTGCAAACTTAGTGCCTGTTTGTGACCTAAGCTTTTCACGTGAAACTTTTGAACCCTGAGAAGTGCCTCATCCTATCGAGTTATATTTATTCGCGGTCAGTGTTGTGTCGCCATATCTCAGGATCGATTGGCGTGTTTTTGCTGCAGGGGAGCTCTCTGTTCTCTGTTGCTTTCTTTCTTTGTCGTATATCTGGTTTACCTCCTAAACGGCCATGCATGTTAACTTCAAATATGTTTATTTTAATTAATTAATACATTCAAATTCACAGTAATTTTGTTATTGCTAGTTAGGTTTGTTATTGGTCAAGCACTTTTTGTCCCTGCAAGGCTGCCGTAGGCTACTTCTTGTTGCGTTCTGGATTGGGCATGTGCTTCATTAAAGTGAAGTTACTTGCCTTCGGCAAGTCGCATTCGATGTGGTGCAGGGAGCTGGATCTCCCTTCACTTTGGAGTGTCCAGTCCGTCCGCGTTCGCCATACCCTGACCTGTAATAACCTCCCCTTCACCCGCAAGCATAATGACTCTGTTTGCCTGCCATTACTTCTAAACACATTACATTTCCCCCCCCCCCCCCTTGTTTCAGAGGCTTTCAGAGGAATATGCGCGCACCGAAATCACACTCATTACAGCGAGAAAATTGTGTGGGTCACGGAGTTCGGCCCTTTGTCTGCTAAATATTTTGGTCAGATGTCGCCTGCAGTATCGCGCACGTGAGTGGCAGCACAAGCTGAGAGACGCACTGCCTTTGGTGTCGGACACACTAGGGTTAACGGGACACCATCCGCCAGTCACTTCAAAATTCATACCTCGATGCATCCGGCATTAAAGCCCGTGGAGATGAACACCTGTGGATGTGTAGTATAGGGGACTCACTCTTCATGCGGCAGCCGTTTGTCCTGACGGTGTTGCTGTGACGTCCTGCACGCTGAGCTCCTCGCCGCGGATATACAGCATCGGCGAGGTCTCCGGTGTCAGTGTCAGCCAGCACGTCTGTATATTTAGCTGTACTGGGGAGTCAGCAGATCTACGACAATACAGCCAGTTATCGTCTATAAAAATATCTTCTGGCTTCCACAGCTACCAAAGGAATGTGAAGGGGAAATAAAAAAAGACTTTATAAAACAAGAAGGGACATATTATTTTTTTATTTACGACATGGGGAGAACACACATAGCACAAGGGTGGTATTCGAACCCACGACCCTAGAGGTGTATCATGAGCGGCTGGAAGATGGATTTAGATTTTTTTTTAAAGTTCTCTTTCCTGATTGGTGAGTCAGGCCGGGCGTCATGCTGCTGAGTCCAGCTGTATCCACTTTCCGGACCTTTCTGCTCCTTCCGGCTCAGCGTTTCGGCCCCGTCTCACTTTGTCATCACCTCTCTCTTTCTCTCTCACTCTCTGTGAACCTCGTTCCCGCTATTCCCCGGAGTCCCAGTGCCGGTGACACACTTCGGTGAGGATGGTGAGTCTACCATCTGCGTGCAAATCTGCCCCCACCTCCCCGAGGGAAGCAGACTCGTAAAGTCACTGAGGTGGGACAGAGAGAGATGGGCCTCCAGACAGGTTCTGGATGTTCTCACGTGGGTTTAGGCTGGGTTTCTTTGAGTGGACACAGTGATATCATTCATAATTCTGGGCTCCGCCCCGGACCCGTGAGCCCCTCCCACTGGGAGGCAGAAGAGGAACGTGGTGGGCCGAGGTTTCTCCCAGCAGAAACAGAGCCCGTTCCTCTTCCATTTCCTTGTCCCTCTGTTTTCTGCTGACTCGCTGCTCCTCGCCATCTACAAAGCATCATACCTGGCGCCGCTCCTGGTTCATTTGCGGAGGCCCTTTTGCAGATTGGATCTGCCATCTTTGGTTCTTCCTTCAGCCTTGAGCGTTATGAGATAACAGCAGAGACATGCCGATACCCCAAGCGCAGTGAATGCAGGGTGCCTGTTTTCCACATTTATCCAACCAGTTTTTTCATTTCTTTTTTTTTTTTACTTTTTTGGTTGCTTATTAGCGTCCTGGCGGGATCGTAGCATGAAAGCGTAGTTTGTTGCTGATGTGCACACAGGACACGTAGCTGTGCCCGTTGACCTGAGCGTGCCAGAGGCACCTTTAAAGATAGACGAGTATTAGCGAATCGCCTGGAGTCTGGAAACCAGCCGACGGCCCAGCGGCTGAGATGAAAGGAGCTGGGCGTGACGTGCTGTCAGTGCTTGTATGAACCTTACCATCATGATCCCAGTCCCACTTACACCCCCCGTTTACTGGATGTCCCTGGTCACGCACACGCACACACACACACACACACCGCTGTCTTCCGCTCTCTGATGTTATCAGCTTAAAAGGTTGTGTTACCAAGGACACATCCAGGTCCAGCTACCGTGACAGCGAGCGAGTGAAAGCAGAGTGGGGGGGGGGGGTGGGGGGGTGCCATCGTTTTGCAGAAAAGTGGCCAAGAAAAATAGGAAGAGCAGAGCTTCTGGGGGGAGAGTCTGCATTGTTTTCCTGGGGAGGTAAGACACTAGGGCCAGCTTGTTCACCATTAAAGACGAGGACATCGCTGAGCTGTGTGCCTCCATACTGCAGGGCTGTCTCACCCCCTGTGCTGCTCAAGCGCTTGGGGTCAGGAAATCTTGTGAGTTCCTGCAACGATGGGAACCTCAGGCAAGCAGGCACATGTGACGTGGACTGAAATGACGGCTGTTTGTTTTTCAGACCACCCCCCCGCCATCGTCCCAAGGATTGTATATCCTGTGGGTCCGAACCCCAGGTGCAGGACCGCTGCGTTGCCATAACAAAGCACTATATTTAGGGGCAGAGACAGCAGGGGGTGTGGCAGTTCAGGTCGTGTAGCTAGCAGTTGGCCAGTGGATATCTGGTCCCCCTCCCGGGACTCGTCATTTAAGCTACATTTTTCATGTTTTTGTTTGGTTTGCGTCACTTGGCTGTCCTCAGCCGACAGCGGACAAAGCTTAACTTGCTAATTTCTCCCCCTTTCATCCCCACCCCTCCTGACCCGCTCCGAGCGAGATGTTCGCCCATCGAGGAGTTAAGGCGGAGCAGCAGTTTGTGTGGCCGCCCACGCCGGCCTCGGCGCGGAGCAGCAGATGTGTGTGGCCTGGTGGCAGGGCCCTGTCCAGCCGTCGCCTGCTGTCTCCACATCTTTCCCACGGAATTAATCTCTGTTTCTGGCTCCAGGGAAAATTGAAACATGTTTGAATGAAAAACAGAATGAGGCGTAATTGTCTGTTTGTATGTCTGCATTATTTGTGTTTTTTTTTTTTTTGCTTGTCCTGGTTGGGTGTCTACATGGCTGTTCTGACATGCTCGCGTGCATGCACATGTGCCTTTGGCACAACTGCGCACATTCGTGCGGGAGAGCAATTAGGCGATGGTCACGTGGCCTGGTGCGGACCAGGGGCTGATGAGGATGTGGGCCAGGCATAATGGAAGCCCGACTCCCTGGCTGACTAATGAAGCTCTTTAGCTGTGGGGTTCCTTCTGCTGAAAACAATAACTGCCAGAGGTGATAAACAAACGCAAAAAAAAGCAAAAACAAAAACTCATCAGAGGTGGGACTACTCGGATTGCATATCAAGTCTGCCTTTCAATCACTAAGTGACGGCATTTACTCCCCAGGGCTGAGCATGCAAGAAAAATTAAGGCTGGTTATGTAGCAGGAAAGGGAGAAAGGAGGAGTAACCATCCATCATCTGAGCTGTAACTGTAATCCACTGCAGGGGCGCAGGGGGCCTGCAGCCTATCGCATGCAGCACAGGGTACGAGGCAGGGCCACGCCTTAGATGGGGTGCCAGTCCATGGCAGGTCACTGGCTTTCAAGGGCGGATGAATTAGGGGCACCACTTCACTGGGTCACCTGTAACTGTGCAAGGAAACTGGATTGTCTGGAGGAAACCCAGACAAACACAAGGAGAACAAGCAAACTCCACACATGCACACACAAAAGGCGGGGGGTGCAGGATTTTTAACCCATAGCCCTGCGGCCCTGGAGGTGTGACACCACGCTGCTACCCACTGAGTCACCTTGCTGAGGGAGAAAAGTTTAAAGCCTGTCTGTTGTAAGCTGGGTTTTTTTTTTTGTTTTTTTTTTTGCGGGAACTATTTTGAGCAAATTGCAACATGGGTGAAACACCTGTTGTGCATCCCTAATACGTCCCACTTAATATCCAGCAAAATAGCAAATATGATGGCCAGACCCCTCATATGACCTCACACTGGAGGCTACAGGGACGTGTGATCGCTGCGCTGCCAAACCGATGAGTGTCATATCGTCATGGTGATGGTCGTCATGGCACGATACGGTGCGGACAGAAAGTAACATCACACCATGCACTGAATCCGTTTCCCTGACAGGAGGGCCCCTCAGCAGCCGTGTGGCGTTCCACGCTCCCCGCGCCAGTCATTACACCTGAATTCACTGACCCCTGTTTCATAAACTATTTTATCTGAAGACCACACCCCCGGGGCTGAATATCGGTTTGCCATAAACGGCTGGGAAAGCACAGGACTGGGATACTGCCATTAATCTCAGTGTAACCTCTGCTGGGACAGTTACTGCAGTGCTCAAGAGGGCTATCCATCTCACAGCCAGATCGCATAAGAAGTCGTCTCCGGAGGTGATGGGAGTTAAGGAGACTCGCATACAGCACACCTAGAGCCCGGCCATTACATAAAGCTCTTGTTTTCTTTTTGCTGATTCAACTTGTACGTTCGACGACCTGGTAGTTTGCTCTGCTGAAGCCAGATACCACGTCCCGGCTCTCTGCGTAGCCACGACAGGATCACTCTGCCCTGGAGGACTGTCACGGTCCTGTGATTTATATGTTTATGACCGTCGCTGACTTTGAGTAATCCTTTTTATTTTCATTTTGGCCTCCTTGCGAGTCTCTGTAAGGAATATCAATTATCACTTCGCTCTTCTTTAATCACACTACTCTCCCCCCCCTTTTTTTAACTGTGGGACCCCGCAGAAAGCATCAGGACTGCTCGTCCGCCTTTTGTGACTCAATTTAGTGAGTGGGCTTATTTATTTTTTGGGCGCGTTGTACTGCACCCCCCCTTAGCTAACGACGTTACTTATCGAATCCACCACTCGACTGTAACGATTCCATCTTTCTGCTTTACTATTTATTTGTTCATTTATTTATTCATTCATCCGTTATCTGTTTCGTTATTTACTTTGGCCCCCGAGGCTGAGCATGGTCAAGCGTGTAAATAGATAAATTAATCAGTTGGTGTGTGGTGGGGGGCCCCAGGGGACCTCAGTGGGGATGAGGCGCCGTCTCCGTCACCGGCCTTTAAATCGTGCTTTGTGACTTTGAGAAGCTCCGAGTTGCTCTCGCTATAAATGACCGATGTCGCGCCGTGTGTGATGCCAGCTGTCCGGCGCCGGTCTCCGGCTGTCCGGTCGGTTTAATTTGCTTTATTTCGCCTGAGTTTCCCCGCTTTTAGCTACCCTGACATGCTTAGCGGCCCCTGCTTGAGCCTCCTGTGTTAGTAAGAGAGAGTGAGCGGTTTCCTAAGCCTGTGAGGAAATACCGGCCCCTGTTGGCACAAGGAGGGAGCCTCACCCACACCCAAACATGGTGATTCGGTACTTAACACAGCACTCTCACATCTCTAGGGCTGGGGGTTTGAATCCTGCCTCCTGCCATGTGTGGAGCATTCTCTGGTTCTCTTCACTTTGTGCATATTTCCTCTTGCAATCGTAAACTGGCCCATGATGTGCAACTGTGAGTGCGCCCTGCAATGCACTGGCATTCCACCGGGGGGCGCCCCCTGCCTCGTGCCCTGTGCTTCCTGGGAGGGGCTCCAGGATCAACGTGACCCTGGGCTGCTCCCACTGTGGGTGTATTCAGTACTGAATATATACACAACCTACTGAAACACAGAGGGACCAATGCCAGTGAGGAGGTACATTATGCAAATCCAGCAGGCTTTTGGAAAGCGT